TGCTTGTAGTGCTTTTATTCTCGAAATATTCATGGTCGAAGTTTCGATTTGATTCGACAATATCAAGAGAACTATTGGCGATGCAAGAAAAATACTTGTTCCTTGATATTTGCATACGGTTTTTGTTCAAGTATAACAAGTTTCAGATCTTTAACTGTTTTCATCGCTGTAAAAAGTCTCTCCAACCAAAAATCGAAATTATCGAATTTACAGAAAAATAAAGTTTTATTTCCCAAAATTTGTTTATTTTCTGGTTGCCCACAAAAAGTTACGTCGTATAAATGCATCATTATGTAAAAATCTATTTCCGTTGTTGTACAGAAAGCGATCGAAGTTTGAACTTCAAACGCAATTTTTACGAAAACTATCCGTCATAGAAAGTTTTAAATTACATTAATTAATTCTATTTATATGCTTTAATGAGCAGACCAACAACTCTGATCTTAATATTAGATAGTTTGGCTGACAAACTTTGTTTGCTATGTTTATTTTTGCAAACAAGCTTTTATTTTGCTTACAAGCACAACTAATTTTTTAAGCTCAATTAAATTGAAAGTCAACGATAATACCGATCAAAAATGGGGACTTTTAGACAAACAATTAGGAGCACAAATTGTATTTTAAATATAATAACTTTTATTAATGGCTTTAAGTTAAACATTTCATTCGGTTTTATTAATATTTGTACATTTTGAGGAATGATCTTCTCAATCAATGCTAAGAAGATCAATCTCTGCAAGTTTTTTAGAAGATTTTGTTTCCATTTCTGGTAAATTTCCACCCAGTGTTAATCCACCGAGTAGTTCGGGTACAGCTTCTTCAGCTTCTTCCTCTTCTTGGTCTTCATCCTGGTATGGGCTTGATTCAAGTTCAGGATATGTGAATGTACAAGTATTTGATAGATCAACTTCAACTGGTGATATTAAATTATCCTTGATCCATGAATGACAATCAATGTGAAGACTACCAAATGAAGAGATGAGACGTTGCAGTTGCATGACAATATCTTGGACATGTTTCTGATCGAGAAGCTCCAATTTTTCAAGAACATCTGATCGAAGTTTACCAAAACGTTTCCTAGCAATTTGACGGCATCTCAAGATTAACCGATACTCGTAGTTACCAGTTTCAACTCGATAGAGTGGTTCATGTAACATTTGATATTGGCAGTCTTCATCGTCCATTTCTTTTACCTTTAAACAATAAGACTGCAAATAGTCGAGACAAAAACAAACAAATTAAATGTAAGTTACGATTGCAATCAAGGAAATGGAGTGGAAATGGATCAACATCTGTAGCGGATAATCAAATGGTATAAACTAAACTCACCAAATATTCAAATTTGACATCAGCATATTTTTTGATAGTCAACTTTGTATCCGGAATGGCTTTATACAAAAAAGTGTGAAGATCATTGAGAACCTATTAAAGATAAATTGTTTCCATAAAATTACAATTAAGCAAAAAGCATTCGATTTTGCAATTTACCGGTTTGAGATTTTGAAGCATTTCGATTGATTGCTTCTCAATGGATCTATGAGTTTCACCAAATTTACTGAATGCTTCACTAGCCGATGGATTCGGTTCTCGGACTCCGATTTCAGCAAATACATCACCAAATGCTAAGTGAGAGAGAGATATCGTGATGTTATAAAATCTTAGCAAATCGTTCCATTGGTGCAATTTACCTTTATAAACTTGGCACATATCGAAATGACTTTTTAATAAAGATACAATATGATCGATGATTCCTTTATACATTGACTCCATTTTTTCTAGCTCTTCCAGCTTCTTCAGTAAACTATCTGAGAATATAATGAGATTTAAGTGAAGGGAAGATCAGAATCTAATGAAAGCTGAAAATTCTTACTTACCATTGCAAAGAATAGCTCGACTCAAGCCAAGAGCATCAGCTGTGGCTGAACTCATATTTTCGACCATCCTGTGTTTTACTTTTTTCAGGATAATATCTAAGGATTTGCCTTGCTTTGGGTCAGCATGCAATTTGTTAAAGTTAATGATGACTTGAGTCCCAACCGATTGAATCATTTTGGCTACTTCGACTTTTGTCTTTCCTTTCATAGAAACGTCATTCACAGAAACAATTTCATCGCCAGATTCAAGAGTTCCTTCCTTTGCTGCTGGAGTTTCATCAAAAACCTGAAAAAATTGGATAGGTTAAAAGGCACATTTAGATGAAACTAAATCAATGTTACCTGAACAACATATAAACATGGACAGTTTGGAGCTCCACCGCCGATTGAGATTCCTATTAGATTGTTTTCATCTTTGTCAATCTTGACCACTCCAGATGTAACTTTCATTCCCCTGAAATACATGTTATCAGAGGAAATTTTTCACAAATATGTTAAATTATAAGCGATGAAACTACAAACATATGACCCAAACAATGTAAAACTGGTATCCTAATGAATATGCATATAAACACGCAGATTAATACATTTATTAATGAAAGGAAGAGTGAATCTGGTTTTGCATCCTCAACAAAATATTATATCATTTCATCTATACTTGGCATAATCCTGTATATGGATGCTGCATTATTGTCGCAATTGATCCATTTTTAGCCAAGACAAGATCAACATGAAGATAATGAATAATTTGGTAAATATTTGAAAACTATTATTTGAGGGATCTACATTGATATGCATAAACAGAGGTGAGTTAACGTTAAAATTTTTAAATGCTTTACAATTAAGGGAGATTTTGGATTTTATTGCTAACAATACTTACAGTTTATCTTCTTCAAGGAAAAACTCGTCGTCTTCAGTCGTCATATTTGTTATTTAACCAGATAAATCAATATAAAATTAGCAAAATAAATACAATTCAATAACGAGTGACAGCAAAACTTGAAATTAATAAAAAGCAGTTGTTTGGATTGTTGTCTGTGATACTTGGAAGTAGCTCACTCTATCCGATATTAAGCAGACCAAATTATTGATTGATGAGACTCCATGCAATATAAAGTTTCATAAAATAAGAGTCAATCACAATTGTTAGCAAAATAACAATTAGCGAAAATGTTGATGAAAGTAATTTTACCGGTGAAACTGAACAAGACCTAAAAATAACGCCTGTAGTCATTGAGAGGAATGGTGAAGAATAACTGAAGAATCCTTAGTTAGATGTGGTTATGGAAGGGGAATTGTTATTAAGACTGGTGTTTGATCGGAGTTCGAACAATTTTGTAAACACTAACCCAATGAATTGTGAGGTAACACTAACTTCAGCATTAAAAATTGCCATTGATCTGCTACTATGTTGATAAAAGAGAATACTAACTTTATGATGCGACCTGAAGTACATAAGATAGACCTACATCAAAAACTCAAGCGCTTGGGGTAATCATGTTAAAACATATTGACAGAGTGCTGCAGAAAAGACTGTTAAAAAGCAAAAGCTTGATGGTTATTGTGGTTTATGAAGTAAACTGTGCTTTATTTTAGAATGGTTTATTAATTGTAAAATATTCTTCATTTGATTGTGCCATGAAGTTTAAATTGTGTACATATGTGAACCTGCAACAAAATGCACTTGATTTTTGCAATTAAAACTTTTCTGTGATAAATAGTTTTCGAAAAAATTGCGTCCAAAGTTCAAACTTTGATCGCTTTTTGTACATTAATGGGAATAGATTTTACCCTCACAATACACTTTTAAGATGTAACTTGTTGTTGTCAACCAGAAAGTAAACAAATTTTGGGAGATTAAACTTTTATTTTTCTGTAAACTCGATAATTACGATTTTTGGTTAAAGTGACTTTTTCGAGCGATAAAAGCAGTTAAAGATCTGAAACTTGTTTTGCTTAAACAGAAATAGTAAGCGAATGTTGAGGATCAAATACTATTCTTGTATCGGCAATAGTTCTCTTGATATTGCCGATTGAAATCTAAACTTCGAGCCCAAATATTTCGAGAATAGAAGCACTTACAGGCATTATTTTTCCGTCAACTATTTGTTTTCATGTAGTAATAGTATAAAACAAAATATGAGATCAATCAAAATAATGTAAGAAAAGTTACACTATTAAACAAATTAGGTTGTCAAATAAAGTTATCAATACAAAATTGCGCGATGCGTTGTGAAGATATTTGCGAATAGAGGCAGTTGGGGCGAACTTCTTTTGATTAATGTCATATCATATAATAGCACA